GAATAGAATAGAATAGAATAGAATAGAATAGAATAGAATAGAATAGAACTGGAAGGGACTTTGGAGGTCTTCTAGTCCAGTCCACTGCTCAAGCAGGAGAACATATACTATTTCAGATAAGTGCCTGTCTAATCTCTTCTTAAAAACCTTCAGTGATGGAGCGCTCACGATTTCTGGAGGCAAGCTGTTCCACTGGTTAACTGTCCTCACTGTTAGAAAGTTTCTCCTTAATTCCAGGTTGTTTCTCTTTTTGATTAGTTTCCAACCATTGTTTCTTGTCCTACCCCCTGGTGCTTTGGAGAATAATTTGACCCCCTCTTCTTTGTGGTAGCCCCTCAAATACTGGAATTCTGCTATCATGTCACCCCTTAATCTTCTTTTCCTTAGACCAGCCAAATCCAAATCCTGCAGCCATTCTTCATATGTTTTCATCTCCAGAACTTTGATCATCGTAGTTGCTCTTCTCTGAACTTTTTCCAAAATCTCAACATCTTTTTTGTAGTATGGTGACCAAATTTGGCTGCAGTGTTCCAGGTGTGGTCTTACTAAGGTTTTATAAAGTGGTACTAATACTTCACATGATCTTAATTCTATGCCAAGGATTGTATTAGCTTTTTTGGTGGCTGCTGCATACTGCTGGCTCATATTCAAGTGATCTTTCACTAGGACTCCAAGTTCCCTCTCACAGTTACTGTTTTTCAGCCAGGTCTTGCTTAATCTGTACTTACACCTTTAATTTTTCCTGCCTAAATGTAAAACTTTGCTTTTCTCCATATTAAAATTCATTTGTTGGATATGGTCCACTGTTCAAGTTTGTCAAGATCTTTTTGGATCCTGAGCTTGTCTTTAGGGGTGTTGGCTAATCCTGCCACTTTAGTGTCATCTGCAAATTTGATGAGTTCCCCTTTTATTCCTTCATCTAAGTCTCAGATCAGCTCGTCTCTTCTTCACATGAAGGAAAGAATGGGGAAGTGCATTCGGGTTTGCAAGATTCGGTGACTATAACTTTATGTTAAAAGTAGTATAGATCTACATAATTTTGATTTCTTTCTTTGGCATCTACAGCAATCCAATTTATCTGCATCACTTTTTCTATTCAAAAATTCCATTAAAAAAAGAAGCAACAACAGCAAAATCTTTCTAATTTGAGAGTCTTTATATTTTTCTATTGTTGGAGTTTGCCAAATGATGAGTCGGTTGATTCTAAATCTTCTTCCACTACAGAGAGCAATATTTTTCTGCGAATGTTTTTAATTCTGCATTAGGCAACCTAGATTTTGTGGAACCACCAGTGACCGGGATAGAACTGCTGAAAAATAAGTAGTTTTCAGGTTCTCAGTGGGAAGCCTTTTCTTTTGCTGCTGCTTGTGAAGCTATATATATATATATAGCTTCATACGTGTGTGTGTGTGTGTGTGATAGGAACTATTGTAAACCTCATGTTTCCTTTGTCAAAAACAAAGGACAAAAAAAAATACTCTTTATTAGAAGTTCCTGCTGTTCATTTCCGTTAGCTATAACTCCAACAATTGTTGAGGTTTTCCATCTACAACTGTATAGTATTTTAATAATTCTGAATCTCATATAATTATTATCCTCATGCATTGAAAATGCTTGATATTCTTTAATAATATTGAGGATACTTGCTCAATGGTAAACCTTAGATTATAGTAAGAACTGATCAAAAAATTTAATCTGGAATATTAAAGTTCTGATCTACCATTCCTAGTCACTGTGTACCTTGCATTCAAGTTAGTAATATTTTAGACAATTTAGCCTAACAATATTTGAATCTTTTACTATAGCTTGATTCTTCCACAATGTATCCATAAGTATAATCACTATGTTACGATTTAAATTCATCCTGCTTTTTAAGTGTATTGTAGCTGCCATTTTGACTTTTTTTTTACCACAACCTATGGATATACCTATTTCAATAAAATTGTTGGATTACTCAACAATTAAACATCTAAGTTATTAATTTTGGTTTACCTTGCTCAGCATCTTGCCATGGTATTTAATTAATGATTTAACTGATTATTTTAATCCATTAACCAACTAAAAGGATGTCATAATAGCAGTCCTATCTCTACAAAACTAGAAGGAGTATTAGACAATGGAATATACATACCATGTTTCTCACAAAATAAGGCCGGGCCTTATTTTTTTTTGACCCCCCAAAAAACGGCTAGGCCGTCTTTTCGGGGATGACTTAATTCCCCCCCTTGCATCCTCAGGTGGGCGGGCGGCAACAGCTTGGATGTTGACCTCGGCATTGGTGGGGCACTTCGTATCGGGAAACCTTCCGCCACCGTTGCTTTCCCTTCCCCCCATGCTGCCGCGGCATTTACAGCAACGCTGCAGTGTTTGGCACAGCCATGCGCAGCCAGCCAGGGCTCCTCCCTGCAACTGGAGCCTGGTGGAGACACTTGGCTTCAGGCGCTCCTGTCATAGCCTTCCCTTCGCCTTCAAAGGCAAAGCCAATTCTTTTAAAAATGACGCCCTACTACCGGTACGACAAAGACTCCCCTGCCTGAGAGGGCAGCCCAACCCCACATGGGGAGGTGAATCTCCTGGGGCTGCAGCGCAGGATCGGCCCACCCCGGGAGAAGCGCCCAGCCGCCATCCCTGCCTGGCGCCGGGCAGAGTGCGAAGAGCTTCACCTGGGGCACCCAGCACAGCTGACAGGCAGACCCTCCTGCCAGGTGTCAGAGCTCTCACCAAGGCAGTGAGCGCCTCCCCGCTGGACCCTCCGCTCATCCCGCCAGAGCTGTGCAGGCTGGGCACAGCCAGGAAAGTGAGCCGCGGGTGCGCACCCGCCTGCCAAGCAAAAGAGCTGGGCCAACCCAAGCTTGGCT